TATTAATATTAAAATATAAACTAATAAAATTAAAGATTATAAAATATTAATATTTTAAAGAACTAATAAAAAGATCTTAGAAATTATTATTTTTAGATTTATTTATTTTTGAGAGAGAGCATGAGCAGGGGAGGGGCAGAGAGAATCGGGGACAGAGGATCAAAGTGGGCTCCACATTGACAGCAGAGAGCCCAATGTGGGGCTAGAACTAACAAACTACAAGACCATGACCTGAGCCGAAGTTGGATGCTCAACCAACTGAACTACCCAAGCACCTTGAAGAAATTCAGTCTTGAACTTTTAGAATAGTTCTAATCTTTATTTTGGCTTAATCATTCACAAGATAATTCAATGTCCACTGTGCTTTTCTAAGTAATTATTTGCTATTTTAAACCCTTGTAAATCATTAAAAGCATTGCCTTTGTCAGTTTGGTCATTATAACAGTTTTCTTCCCAAATGTTTTTAGATTTTCATTTATTTTTTGGCTAATTGCAAAACAAAAAATTGAGTTTTTCAACCAGGAAAAATCTTCAGCATTTTAAGAGACTAATCACTAAATTGTTAGGAAGCAAGGACTAAAAGCAGCCCTATTAACAACTTAATGCCATCATCTCTTATCAGGCTATGTTCTACCCCATTCATGGTCTCTCAAAACGTTGCGTTTGATTTTCCCAGTGATTGTCTTTGGGAGTTCTGGAACAAATTCCACCTAATTAACAGAAACACATTATGAGACACTTGATTCCATTTTGACAATCCCAGCTGTCAGTACAATAGGGAAAGCTTTCATGCAACTCTAGCATGGAGTTTGAGTCTAGGGGTTGTCTTAGCCCACCAAGCTCATTGAAATTCTTGTGTTTATATAGTAAAGTTGACAATGGAGCTCCATCATGGGTTTTTAGTGCAGAGGCTGTGTGCTTTGTCAGAAGAATATAACAATTCCTTTACTCCTAAGTTCAATTGGACCTAGGCCTCCACTACCCCAGGGAAATAGAGGCCACACCTAAATGCACAAGGAAACAAGTTAATTCTTGGGGTTTGGGCTTTTAAGAACTGGGTCCTGCAGTTTCTGAGGGAGATTTTTGAGAGAGAATTTTGAGTACACACAATTTTCCCCTTATGTCCATGGTAAATCCTCTTCGTTTCCCTTCCTCAAGATGTAACTATTGTATTTTAAGATTTTCTCCAATAACATTTCTGAAAATCAACTGCCATGGATTTAGTAAATTTAATGGAGAAAATGTAACTATTCTTTTTTTTTTTTTAATTTTTTTTTTTCAACGTTTATTTATTTTTGGGACAGAGAGAGACAGAGCATGAACGGGGAGGGGCAGAGAGAGAGGGAGACACAGAATCGGAAACAGGCTCCAGGCTCTGAGCCATCAGCCCAGAGCCCGACGCGGGGCTCGAACTCACGGACCGCGAGATCGTGACCTGGCTGAAGTCGGACGCTTAACCGACTGCGCCACCCAGGCGCCCCTGAAAATGTAACTATTCTTAAAGTTAACTACCTTTTGGTTGAAATACCAACTGAAATGGAATTCTCATGTTAAGGATCAATATCAACCAATAGTATTCTGGGATGAGAAGGAAGGAAGTTGCAGTGCCATCTCTATGTTTTTATATAGAATTATTTTTTTTTATTAAAATTAAAAATATTTATTTTGGGGAGATAGAGTGCAAGCAGGGGAGGGGCAGAGAGAGAGACACACACAGAATTTGAGGCAGTCTCCAGGCTCCAAGCTGTCAGCACAGAACCTGATGCATGTCTCGAACCCACAAAGTGCGGGATCATGACCTGGGCTGAAGGCGGACGCCCAACCGCCTGAGCCAGCCAGGCACCCTTTTATAGAATTATTCTTAAATACTCCCTTGAAGAAGAAGGTTTCAGGAAAGATTCCACAGTTTCTTCGGATAGTATATATATATTTTTCTAAGCCTTAAGTTTGGTCAGTTTGATACTAAAGCCCTGTGCTTTGAATTTGTAAGGGTATTATGGATCAAGAGTGCCATGATTGTTGAATTAGGTGCTGTTTTCATTTTTTAAAAACATATTTTAAAGTTTATTTGAGAGAGAGAGAGCACGAGACGGGGAGGGGCAGAAAGAAAGGGAGAGAGAGAATCCCAAGTAGGTTCCATGCTCAACATGGAGCCTTGGGGCTCTATCTCATAACTGTGAGATCATGACTTGAGCCAAGATAATGACTTGAGCTGAAATCAAGAATAGGATGCTTAACTGACCAAGTCACCCAGGTGTGCCCAGGTGGTTTTTAAAATCAATTTGCCAGTATTTTTTTTTTTTTTTTCTCATGGAATGGGACTGATTAGTCTTATAAGGATCCTTAGTAGTTACTCAGTATTGCAGAGTTGATCAAAGCTAGTTTATCAAATATTTGAAAATAAATTTTCTAAAGCAAAATTGTTAGGGCAAAACAAGTTGAAATAGGTATCCTCTGCTTACATACTGAGCAAACATAAAGTCACAAGCTAATAAACTCTATGTACTTACTACCTTAGATCCTTGTTTGGTAATACATTAACTTTTGGGCAAAAATACTTGCCTTTCTTGGATATTTGTAAGGTGCAGTTGATTTTTTCACATGATCCTGAAGTTCAAGAGTTAATTTCTCTGGGTTGGATGATTTAAAGGGTGCAGATAAGACAACAAAAGCTTTCACTACCTGCAGGAGAAAAGTCCATTTATATTGATGTTTGTTTTTCAGACATATCAAGAGTTTGGAGCCAATGCTGAACACAGGTACTTGTAATTAACAGGAGCTTGAGTGATGAATGCAAATCCAGAGATCACCTCTGAACAAAGCTTGGATTACAAATGAGGTTTTGAGATCTAATTCCAGACAAATGGTTTCTGAGTGTGAGGAGTGCAGTGTTTCATTAAGGGTAAAGGTCGAGTTTTATTTACATGTCCACATGTATTTGACATTTCAGTCAGACTAATCCTAATAGGCAATCCTTGATTTACCGATAACCACTTATTTCAAACCTATGCTATTAGAAACATGCAGTAGGGGGGACAAATGGAGTTCCCAGAGAATACAGTTTGAAAGGGGTTTGGGGAGGCTTAGTGGAGGGATTTTGTATGCTGGGGGATGAACTCTCAGGAAGGATTGGTCTACCTCTGAATATTTTTTTTTGCTTCTCTTTGGAATACCATGCAAAGCTCACTAATTAATTATTGAAGTTAGTTAAGTATAAATTATTAATTATTCCTACATTGATTCCAGTTGGTATTTACTTCTAATGTTCACCTGAAATAAGCTCTATTGAGACTATGGTAGCAGGAGGAAAATACTTTGAAGAATGGAATTCATTGAATGGGGAAGTGGTACAAGAGGTTTGAGTGTGGGATCCATAGAGTCACTGCAGAGGGCCACAGTTATATGAATGGCAGTAGAGAAAGAGATGTGGGAGGATGCTGATACAGAAACTGATTTTGAAATTTTGCTACTTACTCTATTAGAAATTTCCTCAAGGAAAGGAAAGTCTCCCTTTCATACTACATGGCTTCCTCCTAAACCTAAGGTTATTCCTGTCATTCCCCAGATTCCCTTTAATAGGTTGAAAGTAGGCTTGTGGGACTTGTTTGGGAACCTGGCCACAACATCCTATTTGCATTGTTCCTGTAATGCAATGTATTTTGATTTCCATGACAATAGTACATACAGTAGAATCTGCTGTTTTTTCTTCTGTAGCATCTCTTCCTCTTTTAGTAACAGTACCCTGAGTTTCCTACAGAGCATTACCCTAACTTCTCTCTCTAGTGGTGTTGACACTAACTCCTACCTCCAGTGACCGGCATATGATCTAGGTCTGGCCAGTGAGCATATACCATTCCCTGGACCACGTTGGTTGGATATGTGATCTAAAATAGGCAAATATTATTCTGGGAGTTGCTTGAAACTGGTGGAAAGGGAGCTGTCTCTTTTCCTGGTTGTTAAGCTGTGTGCATTTGGAGTGGTTGCTGTCAAGTAGGAAGAATCTTTCCGAATGGAACCAACCTAAAGAACAACAGCCAAGAGATGGAGAGAGACGGTTTTGCTAACTTCACATGAACCCTTGGATGTAGCTGTACCTGAAGACCTCACTTATGTGTAAGCCAGTAAATTCCTTTTTTTAAAAACTTAAGTCAGTTTGAGTTGAGTTTCTGTCATTTGCCTCTAAAAGAATGCTAATACATCCCCTTTGAGATGCAACTCATTTGTAAACTTGATTACCTAGTATACATTTTTGGCACATGTGCTTCATAATAAGAAGTACATGACTACTCCTGATTCACTCCTTAACATGGTCAAATGGATAGAACTTGAAAATATGAAATTGCTACATTAATGACATTCACTCTACCTCTCCTCTGATTGGATCTGGACTACTGACAACAGCTGATTCAACAACTGCTGGGTGCTCGATTAGTGCACTCTCCACTTCAAATGGCCCAATACGGTACCTGGAAGAGGAAAAGAAGCCCTCGGTCACTACACCACCCAATAGACCTCCCCTGACCATCAATTACTTCCTAAGAGTAAGAGTAGCAAATATACAAACCCAGAGGATATGATGACATCATCAGCTCTACCAACAAACCAGAAATACCCATCACTGTCCATCACTCCTCTGTCTCCAGTGACATAAAAATTCCCTCTTATCGTGGCAGCAGTTTTCTCTGGATTGTCCTAGGAATCAAAGATGACTCTTGGTCAGAATAGACAAAGGGCTATGGCACCCATGGAGTGACTTGTACATTGTGCATTCTATTTCTAAAAGAAATTAATTTAAAGAAATGTAATTCCTAGTGTAGAATACAAAAGGTTCAAGAATATAATAAAAAGTAAACCCCTCTTCCACCTCTACCACTCCCTATCACTCCCTCCCTGCCCTCTGCAGCCTGCCTAGTTGTCTTTTCTGAGGACACTCACTGCAACTGGTTTCTTACACATAGAATTTAATCTTTGCACAACTCCTAGGAGATAGATGATATTCTCCCCATTTTGCAGTTGATGAAATAGACTTGGATTTTGTGACTTGCCCAAATTTACACAGCAACACGTGATGGATATGAAATTTGGACCCAAGTCTGTATGATTCCCTGTACCACCTTTTCTATTAAAGTGTGACTAGCATATTTTACATTCTTGTACCACATATTCAGAGAAGAAACAGAAAGGCCGTGTAGTCTGTAGTCTGAGGGCAATTTCCCCTTCTTTGCCAGGTGGTAGGACGTTGCCATTTTCATCTATAATCTAGAATGAAAGGAACAATTTAGGTTCCTAAATTTGTTTTTTTACAGTGTGAAAACAGGTTATAAATAGTTGTACAATGACTAGTAGAAAACTGTAAAACGTTTTTTCCTTATTGAAACAGATATAACTGACCTGGACATCATAGGGTTGTACTCCTTTGCCCATTGAACCCAGTTTAATTTCTTGTCCTTTCTGATTGGCACAAATTATTCCCTGTTGAGAGAACATGTTTTATATAAGGATGTAAAAATTCAATTTCTGTAGCTATTTATATCATGACAATAAAACATAAGACTCAGTATTGACTGATTTTCCCAGTTATACACACACACACACACACACACACACACACACACACACACACGTACACATACACACATGCACATTATTTTAGATCAGTGCTTCTCAAACATAAGCGTGTACCAGAGTCACCTGGAGCATTCATTTTTCAAGCACAGATTTCCAGGCACCATCTCAGAGTTTCTGATTCAGTAGGTCTGGCCAGGTGGGGTGTCTGAGAATTTGAATTGCTACCAAATTTCCACGTGCAGCTGATGCTGCTGATTTGAGGACCACACTTTGAAAACTACTCCTTAGACTAAGGATACCACTTAGTGCACCTTGGGATAAATTCCCCACTGGGGCTCTGTGGGGTCCTCAGTGTTGCTGAGAAGATGAGCTGCTCAAATCTGACCCTCTCTGACCCCTAACACCTTTGAGACTTCTCCAGCATGGGAAGAAGGCAGGAAGACTGGAAGGAATAATCCTAATTCCCCTCTAGCCAAACCTAATTGGGCAATTCAGAGGTTTTGGTGGTTACTTGCAAGGTAAGGTATGCTGGGAAATTCCATAAAAATTTACAACACCAAGGGGACTCTTCAGGGGCTCAGTCTGGGGTTGAAATGTTCCCAATGTGCTAAACCTAAACTGCCCATTAAACATACCACTTCTGTCTGTCCGTAGCCCTCATACAGTTCCAGTCCAGTTTGTGCCTTCCACTGTTCCAGCACCTCGGGGTTGAGTGGCTCCCCTCCTGTCAAGCAGTGCCGTAGCTTCTTGAATTTATATCTGTAGACACAGATATAGGGTCTTTGATGGGAGAAATCTGAGTGGCTTTCACTAAAACATTATTAGTATGTTCTAGCAACAAGCAAATGAGCTAGGAAAGACAAGTAGGAAAGTTCAGTCAGCAAATATTTTTGAGCACCTACTATCTTGTCAGACATGGTTGTAGGTGTGTGGGGCATGTTAGTAATTCAAATAAAATTTCCTGACAGAGCTTGCATTTTAGCAGATCATTAAAGGAGGGGAGAAGGTAGGAGAAAATACCAATAATGATCTTAAGTGCTTATTATGGGCCAAGTGATAAAACAGCTAACATTAATTAAGAACCTACTATGCTGTGAGGGCTTTAGGAGCATTCTCATAATCCTCACATCCTTATTATACAGATCAGGAACTAGAGGCTGAGAGAATATAAAGAGGTTGTTCGAGGCCTCACATATAATAAAGGGCTGAATTGACTACCCTGCCCTTACCATTTGTCAAGTATCTCACCAAGTAGGCCATTTCCCTGAATTCTCTCCACAACCGCATGAGGCAGCCCTTAATCCTCTCTTGTGGATGGAGTTAAGGAGACTTAGTAAGGTCATCTGGAGTGTCTGAGGTCACACTGTCAGTAAATAGTGGAGCCCTACTTGTTTGGCTTTGGAGCTTGGTCAGTTAACCACTGGCCTTACTACTCCACTGCCCACTTTCTCAAGTGAGGAAGTCTGGAATAGCCCAGCTCCGGTGCATTGAGGTGTCAAATAGGGAGGACAGGAGTTGTGCCTATTCAAAATAATCCTGGAAAGCCCTGAACTACTCTTGAAATGTGAGCAAGATGCTTACATTCATATCTGCTTTATTTTGTTTCATAGCACTCTCCCTTCTGGGCATCCACACTTGAGGGTGCAGAGGATGGGTGAGCCTATACTACTTAAATTATTTCTCTCTTCCTTTCTCTTTTTCTTCAGGTACTCAATTTGTATTAGTTAAGTAAATATGCATTGCAAGTCCACTAGGTGTTCAGATGATTTGGATAAATTGATTATAATCTTCAAGTCATAAGACTTCATTAGCTTCTCTTCAAGACAATATGAATGCAGCTGGATTTGGGGAGGGAGGTTGGTTCTCAGACTTCAGGGTTCTGGTTGTCCCTGGGAAAACGTTCAGTTGCCCCTAGAGGCTATCCTTAGGGGCAACTGGGAAGTGATTAGGCAATATCTGAAGACAGTTTTGATGGTTGCGAGGGAGGTTCTACTGGCATCTAGTAGGTGGAAGCCAGGCAGAATGTTGCTCAACATCCTACAGTGCACAGGACAGTCCCCGACAACACAGAATTATTCAGTCCAAATGTCACTAGTGGCAAGACTGAGGAAACCTGGGCTATCCTGTGCTGAGAAGGGGTGATGCGGGACTATAGCTTTTGTTTGTGGTTCAAATGGAGATTTCTGCCCAAGTACCTTTTAAGGTCTTTTTGCACAAGCATCCGGTACACAGTGGGAGCGCTGCACAGGGTCGTGATGGGATAAGTGGTGAGCGTCTGGATGATGGAGAAAGACAGTTTCAGAAGTGGTTCATTAGAGGCCACAACCAGAGCTGATGTCTGCAACCCCTCAACGTCTATCATTAGCATGTTTTCATCTCATGATCACTACTAGGCATGAGAAAGCAAATATTTATTGTCACTAGTGACTGGATGTCCATTGGAAACTTCCAATTATTGGGAAGAATACATATATGTTACAGTAATAGACACACACAATCAAATTCAACAAAAAGTAAATTGTCGAAATTGAGACCAACCCCAAAGTAGGAACTGGTTGATTCTACCTCAGGGGTGCAAATTACCTTTCATGGTGGAATTTTGAAACCTCCTGCCCATATATTCCTGCACAATACTCACCCTAGATGTGAGCTAACCTACCAAAACTTTCCCAATACTGCTTCTATAAAAGATACCAGTCCTTTCAAGTGGATTGATTAAATGCATAAGTCATTTTCCAGGCCCAGATTTGCTGGGCTCATTTTCCCTCTAGCTCCTTAAAGAAAAATAATGACATAGGTTAAATCTAGAGAGATACTCACGTTTTAGATTTCCTGTTTCTAGAGAGGTTCGACTATGCCAAGTGATAAATTGACAATTTGTATTAAACTTAAACATTTGAGAGAAGGCTTTCAAGATGTATTTCTAGTCTCTCTGGATCATGAAAAACTTTTGATCTGTAAGTGAACGTCTCTACTGTGTGTAATTGCTCCCTGGATTCCAACTATTCTTTTTTTTTTTTTTTTTAATTTATTTATTTTTGGGACAGAGAGAGACAGAGCATGAACGGGGGAGGGTCAGAGAGAGGGAGACACAGAATCAGAAACAGGCTCCAGGCTCCGAGCCATCAGCCCAGAGCCGACGCGGGGCTCGAACTAACGGACCGCGAGATCATGACCTGGCTGAAGTCGGACGCTTAACCGACTGCGCCACCCAGGGGACCCCCAACTATTCTTAGTAGGTGTAAGTGCTTATACCTAAGAATAGCGTAAAGTTTTTAGAGCACTTAAAATACACACATCTTTGTGTATTTGTGTGTATTTTAAAATACACACTATCTTTGTAAAATAAGAATAGTCTTATTTTAATCAACTTATTTAATGTTAAATAATATAGATTAATAATATAATAATACATTAATATTAACATATTACTAGCATTACTATGTCTTAATAAAATGTTAAATAAATTGATTAAAATAAGTATATTATGTATCTTACTTAAATACTATACAATATTTAATATTTTACTAAAATTATTATTCTTATTTTTAAAAATGCAGGTTTCAGAACTGCAAACTTAGTTTATCTACTTAGGACACTTTATTAGCCTGATGGAGAGATCCTAGTTCTTATGCTACCCAGCATTTCTGTTAAGACCCTCAAGCCATCTCGTCAGACCAGTTAGCAAAATAACAGGGTGAGTATAGCTTTTATTGACACAGGTGTGGTGTTTGTTTAATAACATGTATTTTGTTAAGCATAATTGATTTTTTATGGGTGAAAAATAATTGGCCTGAATCACATCTTTCTAAAGGCTAAAGAAATGAGAGCAATCTGATACCTCAATCTAGCTGTCTCTGGCTGAAAAGGAGGGACATGCCTGATTTCAAGACAAACATTGGGTTCTGAGAATAACAAAGTGAGAAGCTCAGGGTGAGGGGAGAATGGAAGGAGCTGCTCTGGGAGAAAGGTGACCCCACCTGTTAGTCTTCTCTACACAGGGTTTGGGATTTATCACCTATTGTTTTTGTTTCACTCAGTCAGAACCAAAGATTTGTTTGGACTTGAGACTTCTAATCTGTTACTTAGAATCTCATGCTCAGTGGGACATTAGAAATCCTGAACAGTTTGAAGCACAAGAGTGGATTTTATGCCTGAGAGTGTTGTGGGTGTTTCCTCTCTGTTAAATACATTCAAAGGCCAAATCCCTGGAGACTTCAGTTCTTAAAAAGGAATTATTTCCACAAGCCCAGGAAACTATATTCTGAAGAATCATTTCTCTGTAGTTTTAGAGGAGACAAGGGAGAGATGTAGCTAGAAGTCATGACTTACATCTAAGAAAGTGTCGGTGTCAAACTGGGCCATCCGATGTACAAAGACACACGCTCCCTGAAGCCAGGATGAAAACACACTGCCAATGGCAGCCTTGATCCAGCCAGTGTCAGACATGTTCCATATGATATCTGAGGACTTCAGGTCTAGCCAATACCTAAGTGATATGGAGAAGCAACAAGACCAAAAAAAAAAAAAAAAAAAAAAAAAAAAAAAACCCAAAACAAAGCTAAAGAAAGAAAGAAATCCCACAAAACAAAACAAAAACAAAAACAAAAACAGAAAAGCAAACAAACTGGTGTCTTTGAGAACTGGCCAGAACATCAGGGGCTACAGAGAAAGATCAAAAGAAACCCGAAGGCAGGATGAGCTATTATTCTACCTCCCACTTTTGTTATTTTGTTAGAGAACTTCTTCAGAATCCTAGGTAATATGAAAATAGGGAGGCTGGGTTTGGCATGATATTCTAGGTTTGTTCATTGAAGCAACAAATATTTATTGTGTCAATATATGCTAGGCACTGTTCTGCCTAGCATAGTGAGATAGACTAGATATCTGCTCTTACTTCAGTAAGACAGATAGCTAACAAGCACACAATAAAATGAATGAGTATAGATCAGTATCATAATATCAAATAGTGATAAGTGCTCTGAGGAAAATAAAACAGGTAATGTGATAGCTTTGAGATATCTAGGAAGGCCTTTCTGGGTGGGTGAGCTTCTCTGGCAATGAGAAGGAGCCAGACATACGGTTATCGAGATGTGGCCAAGGGTGATTCCTGTACATCACCCTGTGCTCATCACAAGTGCACTCCTTAATTCCCATCGCCTATTTAATCCATAAGTTCTTGCTTGATCAGTTGGTGAGATGGTGCCATTTACTGATCTAGGGTTGGGCAGGGGCATCAAGGGTTCTGTTTTGTAGACATTATATTGGAGA